CAATGGAAAGAGCAAATGGAAATAGTTATCTATTACCTCATAGTCACATGGTCAGACTCAGCCAAATGCGGATCAAAAATGTTAGCACACCGGAGAGACAGCTCAGTGATAGTCTTTGCCCTGCAAGTTGAGGCTCTGGGCTCAACACCAGCCACATCAGCGCATTCACTGTATGGAAACACGTACTTGTTGTTCTACTGAAGCAACAGAGCACGGACTTTATTTCCCCAGACTCAGGATATTCTGATTAGGTAAAATATGAACCAAAATAAGGAGAACATGGCTCATGGGAAGGCAGGGCAGCGGAGGGTAGGCAAGCAGGGGATCCTGCGAAGAGAGCTTGCCCGAACCTCAGAGCTCCAGGAACTATCAAGTGATTTTTTTCCATCAATGGGAGGATGGCTTTGAAGGACCAGAGAGAAGCCTTCTAGAAGGGAGAGCTGAGTTTTCCCTGAGCCTGAGGTGACAAACTCAAGGACACCTCCAGGAAAGGAAGGATTTCCATGGTGAGATTCAAATGTGAGAAAACAGCCACTTAAAGGAGTAGTGAGAGCTATGTCTTGTCTCATTTGGGCATCGCCATGACCGGATGCATTCTGGAAAGCACTGTTGAGTCTCCCCTTCAAAATATCTTCGAGGTAGTCTGGGATACCAGCGGAACACAGTCATTAAAATCAAGAGATCCTCTGTGGTAGGCTCCTGTCCTATTTCCTGTTTCCTCCCTCTTCCAATGTCTGTCTCATTTGCCTTTCTGAGTGAGGACTGATCATCTTACCCAGGGTCCTCCTTCTTGCTTGGCTTCTTTAGGTGTACAGATTTTAGAATGTTTATCCAATATTATATGTCTAATATCCACTTATAAGTTAGTATATACCATGTGTGTCATTCTGCTTCTGGGATACCTCACTCAGGATGATTTTTTCTAGTTCCCACCATTTGCCTGCAAATTTCATGATTTCCTTGTTTTTCATTTTCGAGTAGTATTCCATAGTGTAAATGTACCACAATTTCTGTATCTGTTCCTCAGCTGAGGGAGACTCTACTTGGCAGGGTATCAAAGCAGATGCTGAAACTCATAGCCAAACTTTGGGCAGAGTGAAGGGAATCTTATGAAAGAAGGGGAAGATAGAAAGACCTGGAGGGGACAGGACCTCCACAAGGAGAGCAACAGAACCAAAATATCTGGGCCCACGAGTCTTTTCTGAGATCCTTTTTTTTTCCGATACACCAACCAATGACCATTCATGGAGGTTCTATAACCTAGAACCCCTACACAGATGTAGCCCATGGCAGCTCAGTGTCCAAGTGAGGTCCCTAGTAATGGGAACAGGGACTGTCTCTGACATGAATTCAGTGGCTGGCTCTTTGATCACATCCTCCTGAGCGGGGAGCAGCCTTACCAGGCCACAGAGTAAGACAATGCAGTCACTCCTGATGATACCTGATAGGTTAGAGTCAGATGGAAGGAGAGGAGGACCTCCCCTATCAGTAGACTTGGGGAGGGGTATGGGAGGAGAAAAGGGAGGAAGTGTGGGGTTGGAAAGGGGATGAGGGAGGGGGTTACAGCTGGGATACAAAGTGAATTGTAATAGATAAAAAATTAAAAAATCTAGCTCCACATATGACTCAGTTAACATTTTCATTTATGTATTTACACAGGACGACTATATGAAAGGAAAACTGTGGTATAATGAAAGATGTTTTTCGAACACAGAAAGTTTTGAAGGTACATTTTAAGACCCAATGACAGACTTTTATCAGTATAAATTACATATATTTATTAATTAAATAAAATGCATTAAATACAAAATTGATTAAAATGCGACAATAACTACTTTATATGAATTAATGGCCTATGAGAAAGCCAGGCACAGCAGTGGTGTATACTTGTCATTCTTTTAACACTCAGGAGGCAGAAATGGAAACACTGCAGGCTTAGGGCTTCCAGGGCTACATACTGAGAGACCTTTTCTAAAAATAAAGGGGCATGGCACGCCCACAGAAATGCAAGAGAACCATATCCAAGGATACTCTAATAGATGGTACAAAACTGGCATTGCTTTTTATGTAGGCAGCTTTATTAACACTAACACTTCCTAAGCTGGGAAGTGTAGACGTTGTTCATAATTCCTGTACTCTTCTATTTTACAGTTGATTATATTACTATCACTTTCGACAGAAACAGGACCCTCAGTGAGGTATGATGTAGAAAAATTGCAAAGGTAGGAGATTTTATTGCACATGATTTCAAGAATTGTTGTTAATCTGCAATGTGGTACTTAAACACACAGAAAATCTTAACCACTTGCAGTGGTGTCTCCGTGTAGACTTAACAGCAGGTGCCTGCTTTTGGTAAAGCTAGACCAGTGTGTCTAGCCAAATACTCCATACCAGAGAAGAGTTTCTTTGCAATGTTTTCTAAAAACCCAGTCCACCCAGAAGAAAGATTAGCTCCTAAAGAATTAAAACTGTGGTTTCTGAGCCAGGTGTTGTGGCTCACACATGTAATTCCAGCAGTCGGTAGGTGGAGGCAGACGAACATGTGCTACACAGTTCTCGGCCAGCCTAGGTCACATAGTAAGAGCCAGTTCTAAAAAGCCTCTGTATGTTGGTGTGTGTGCTTGTGCGTGTGCAAGTGTGTGGTAGTGTGTATGTGTGCATGCATGCACAAGAGAAAGAAAGCAAGAGAGGGGAGGAGAGAGAGAGAGAGAGAGAGATTGATTTTTTTTAATGGCATGTCAGAACATAAAGGTTCATTATCTTATTTTCCTACAGTAACTAGTTGGGATTTTTGTTTCAGAACCAGAATTAATACTTCCTTTCTATTTTCCAGTCCAGTTCTTGTTTTTATAGTAAAGAACCATTTCTTGAATGGTTGCCTTGCTTAGATTCCACTTATGAAAGTTCAACAACTGTGGTAACATTTCTTATTGATCAAGAAAGTAAAACTGGAATTTATCTCCTCCGTCATCAGGTAAGTTGTCTAGCTCACAGGGGTTTGCATTATCACCGAGCACTGCAAATTGATAATTTCCAGTTTGTCTTTGTCTCTGGCACAGAAACTGACAAAATTATGTATGACCCATAGACTAGTTTGGTACTGAACATTTATTTATTTATCATTAAAGTTGATGAAAATAAAAGTCATGTTGCTAGTTGTTTACTTATTGTTCTTTACTCATTCTCTGGGGAATTATCAGCTGAATATTTCACATATAAATCTGAAGTTCCTAAACAGAGGGGGACCCATTGCCACAGTTGTACATTTTCTGTTGCATAGTTCCTGAATTTTGGCTATTAATTAGAATTGTTCTCAGATTCATTAGTGTTGGGACCAATTAATATATGATGAGGCTTGCAACAGATCTTCTATGCAAGAGGTTTATTAGGTGGATATAGAGAGAGGGAGGGAAAGGAGAGCAGGACATGATAGGAAGAAAGAGGGGGGTGGCGCCCCGATAGAGAAAGGAACCAAGAGAGCAAGAGAAGAGAGGACCAAGAGAGAGCAAGAGAGCGACCATGTGTCAGGTTGTCCCTTTAATGGGCAAGGTAACCACACCTTCTAGGTGTGGCCGGCCACACATGATGACATCATAAGTTGCTAGGCAACCCAGAAGCAGGTTTTGTTCCAAAATCTGAACATTCCTCCCATTTTCTATAATTAAAAAATTAGGAACTTGGGCTGCTTTTTATAAGGTAAGTTTAAGTATATGAATTTAGGTTCATTGGAAGCAGCTCTTGGTTGTCATGCAAGGGGTTAAGAGAGAGAGAAGAATTATAGCAACAAAATGGTCAGATTACAAGGTCAAGAGTAGGGAAGCCTCTGCCCTCAAAAATTTAGGGTAGAGGGTTGTCAGTAGAGAGTTGCCAGCCATGCAAGGCAGCAGGTAGGGACTGGGGAATGCAGGTTTTGTTCCAAAATCATAACAATTAGAAAATTAGAAGTTCTCTAAGTGGATTTTCAACATTCAGCCTTAAGTGGAACACACACACACACACACACACACACACACACACACACACACATCCCCTCCAAAGAGCCCATGTAACTTCAAAATAAGCTGCTTTTCAGCTGGACTTTTTTTTTTTTTTTTAAGGCAGGGTCTCACTATGTAACACTGTGTATCCTTGAGCGATAGGCCTACCTCTGACCCTGAGTGCTGGAATTAAAAGCATGTGCCATCATGCCTGCCTAGGCTGCACATATTTTTAACTTATATTTTCCTAGAAAAAAATTACTTTTTTGATCAGGAGGACAAGAGACAAGGAGAAGTTGGTCCATGCAGGGACCTCTTTCTATCTGAGCCATAAAACTTTCCTGGAAAAGGATTTGTGATAGAAAAATAGATCTTATTTGCTGTCTTTTTTTTTTTTCTTTCTGAGTCTAGGTCTTCTATGAAATGAAATGGTTGGCAGTCTCATTTCCTAGAATTTGCTGCTTTTAGTCAAATAAGGGGGTAACTAAGACATCCTTTTCCTCCCTCACCTCAACATTATCTTTATATCAAGATGGCATTTCTGGGGAGGTCATAGTCTTGTTCCTTTCAAGACTATGAGCCAATAGAATTTGGATTTTGTCAGTCACCCACATTTAGCATGAAAGACATGAGTACAGACACTGAAATCTATGTAGCTATTTTAGCAATGATGCTAAATCTCTTAATACCATTTATTGTACAACTTTGAACAAATTCCTTAGATTCCTATGCTCTATCTCAGCATCTATAAAATGGACAGGTAGGGTAGTGGAGTGGAGCTATCAGTGATTTCTAATCTTTTAATTCCTTGCTGTGAGGATGGGTATGCCCCTGTCTTAATTAAAACTTAAATAATTAAAAAGGCTAGAAATTACAATATGGACCAAGAATAATAACATAAATCTTATGATTTCCTTTGCTTTATCTAGAGATCTCGGCATGTTACTGTCTCTGTATCAATGCTCAGGGAGGAGAAACCAAGCCCTCGACCAAAATTTCCAAATTTTAAATTTCCTGCCTCATTCTCTCATCCAGTTGGAATGGTGTTTCATCCCCGAAGCCACTTTCTGTATGTTTATGGAGATCAGGTAAGTGGCCATAAAATTTCTTTTTCTGGAGTAAGAGAAAGTAGTCCAAGTTTTGTAGACCTAGTGATTATATACATAAAGACCAGGCTTATTCTGATGATCTAGGGGGTAGAAGTAGAAGGTAAGACAGTAAATGTTTATCAATGTGTGTTGTCAGTTTAACGGTCTGTAGCCAATTTAAACCTTTCTATTTGTTCACTGGCTGATGGAAATGAGGCAGGGGGCACCGTGGTCCTGAATGTTGCAGGTATAATCCATTTCATTACAATGTTGAAGGACTTAGATTTTGCCATTAATCCATGACAAGTATGTTTTAGCTGGTGTTTCTGGCATTAGACATTGCCTTTTCTTTGTCTGAATTTGTCAAAGCATTCTCTTCTGGCTCTGAGCAATTTTTGGTAACGTTTTCTATTCCTGGCCTTCCAGTCACACAGTTATATTATCATTAACCTTTGTGAAGCTTGGCAAAACACTGTGGTCATCAGCCAAGTTAAAAGTAAGGAGCACAAAATATGGAACATGAAGACATTCAGTACCAAGAGAGCACTGTGCTGACTTCCAGTGAAAATACTCAGTTCGCTGTCACAGTGAGACTTCGCCCCTGAAAATAATTTTAATGGCTGCAATTTAGTAGAGAGAGGGAGAGAGCAGAGTTTCTCTGTGAGATTCTGAGATCACATGACAGGCTACAGTTTTACTTCAAAGACATAAGCTCCTCAGTCATTAACATCAAAATAAGATTTCTGTTGAGGTTGGCAGTTTAATCTTCAAATTTCTGTTCACTTGATAACTATCTCAGACCATCTTTTGCTTATGAGGAACTATTCTAAAAATGAATAATCTTTTGCTTATGAGGTGGGCTGAGGAATTAAGAGACAAAACAATAAAAATAACTTTTGTGGAAATAAATGGCTAATACTGATGTGATTTTAAGAGTGCTGGCAGCACAAAAAAATGGCTACAAGTGAGAATAAAACCTATGTCGGAGTCAGGTAAATCTGTAAAATAAGAGCTAACTTCACAACCTCAGGATACTCAGGTTGGGACTAAAAGATGCTGAGATATGGGATTGTAGTTCTCCAGGGTTTTTGTTTGTTTGTTTTGTTTTGGCCAGGTTCTCCTGGACCTGACTGTAGCCCAATCTAGGACTGAACTTACCTGGCCAGCCTCCTAACTGCTAGTATTATAGAATTGTACCTATGTTCCCAGCTTGGAGAGAAAGACACAATGTAGACTCCACAATAGTTAAGGATACAAGGATGCAAGCTTGACAGTGGAGGGAAGAATTAAAAATAACAGTAATGAATTCATACAAAACACTTTCAAAATGAAAAACTAATAGGGCACAAAGAGAAATGACACAAAGAGGCACATCACTGAACTCTAAATAGAAACAGAAAAACATGTGAAGAGATGGTCAGCCCCTAAGTATCAGGAAAATACAAACCAAGAACGCGCTATGTAGGGCTGGGTAAGTGGCTCAGCTCGTGAAATCACTTACTCTGAAAGCATGAGAACCCGAGTTCAGATCCCCAAAGCTAGTGTAAAAAGCTGAGCATGACTGTGCATCTCTGTAACCCTGAATTAGGGAGCAGAGACAGGCAGATCCAGAGAGCTCACTGACCAGCCAGTGTGGCCAAAACAACTTCTTGTTCATTGAAAAACTGAATCAATAAGGTAGAGAACGCAATAGAAACTCGCCCAATGTCATTCTGTGGTCTCCTCATATATGCACCCATGTACTCACATGCATCATACATACACACACACACACACACA